GAGAAACACCAGCAGTTCAATAAATATCACATTACAGTACTTCGTATTATTGACAACTTGTAACAGTAGATAACCATAGAAATACAACAGTAGGTCTACTTCACATTTTTATAATTAAATCTTAAGAATTTAAATTGTTAGTTTCTTAAAAAAAAAAGCTTTTCTTTTTTCCATGACTCACCAATATTCATGAACTTCCTAGATGTTTCCATAACACTTTCCCCTTCTGGTTCTGCACTTATCTTGTTTATTCAATTAATGTATAATTTTGTGAGAACTTTGATTTCTATATTGTTGTGTCTTTTGCTTCTTAATCTAAATTATTTGGTACTTATAATTTTCCATTAATTTGTTATTTTAAGTTCTAGTAATTTTTGTTCTTAACTTTTGCATTGTGATTTTAAGCTCACTTGATTCCAAACAAAATTTAAATATTCTATTACCTTGTCCCAGATAACAGTAATGTATATGAAAAAGGCATATGACTTTGTTCAACACTTGAACCACAAAGAAACTTAAAAGACAGTTGCTCAACAAAACTATAATGAGAAACCTGTTGCAGAATATCTACTTCACTAATCTGAGCTTAACTCTTCCATTTAAATAAGATTTGCTATTAAATTCACAGTGCAAGTTCTTTGCTTGAAATATTTATTACAAAATTCACCTTCTTTTAAGCTGATGCTAGTATTATTACTAGTAAGCTAAGGCTCATCATACAACTAATCTTTTTTTTACTTTGGTATTTTATCACATCATTTTCATATGACTTTTCATATTGCTAAAACTATGTTTATCATTTATCAAAAATTTACTACCTCTGTATTATCACTTACAATTTGGTCTCTGGTTTAAGAATCAATATTTATGATGAACACACTTTCTCAGCAAATTTAGGAGATATATTAGAAGAATCTTAAGCACACACACCCTCTCACTTTTTCCTTTTAAGCCAGTTTCCTAATAACTTTCTTTAATGAAGCAAATATTTTGGGGAACCAAAACTGCCCACACTGCTCCAAATGAAGCCTCATTAATTTTACATAAGGTTTTTGATATTTTGCTTTGAAGTTCAAAATTCAAAAAGCCTACAATGATCATAATTTTTTTCAAGCCTTATGAAAAAAAAAACAACAAATGAACAACCTCAACTGAAATAAAATCTCTGTATGCCTGTGTTAACCCGATGACTACTGGCTACTAACTTTCTTAGTAGGCAATGCAAGTGTGAGGGCAAAATAATTTGTGAATTGAAAAAATGATAGAGAACTTATCTTTTAATGGATTTCTGATTTTATTTTTATAAACAGTAGCATAGCATTCAATTATTTGTACAAAATTGTATTATTTCATGAAGTTTAAAGAGGAATTTAATGAGAAAAATTCCTAAAATACGTTTTAGACTGTAAATAAGCACCCTCAAAGAAGAAATGTTTTTTTTTCAAAAATTTTTTTAAGATATTTCCTTTCACCTCAGCACTGGTCCTGCCATCTATGATTGGTATCTAAACCCTTTTTCTAGTATGTTTTCTTTATAAAACTG